CACAGACGGGGGAGAGAGATCTCGTCTCGATTGGAAAGATCGAAAATACACCGACATTTGTTTGTCTTTTTGCATGTTAGAAACGAGTTGGCGACACTAAGATTGCGAGATAATATTTGTGTAGCAATAATACATGACCTTTCTCTTTCTCAACTCGCTACTCGGAGGGAAGTCGCTGTCATATGCCTTGTGAACACTCCGATAATGCCTCTCCACGTTACCTTTCTTTGGCAGAGCGACGCTTGCTTTACAAATAAGGCAAATAACCTTTGAATGTGACATCACAAACAAATATTCTTCCTCCCATTCTGGGTGGAAGTGGTATGTCTTTAGCTTCTTGCTCGGTCCCGCACTCATTTTGTTGTTTGTCTCTTGTTTGTCTCTTTAACTTAATTTGAGTTTTCCCGGCACTTGACTGATTTTGTATCGCTTTGCATTCTGGGTTAACAGACTGGAAAGCGATAGGTCGCTTTTTCTGTCAATCAAGTAAACTCCTGAATTAAGTGGCAGGAAGGCCAAGGGAGGAGGGATCAAAACCTGTTTTGTCTATTTTAACGGAACAGGATTTTTTTTTTTATGAATGACTCGCGATCTACCAGCATTGCCCCCGCGGTCGACCGGTCGCCCGCGGTCGACGTACTGGGCACCTCTGGTCTACATGATGTGGCCTGCCAACATGGCCACTGTCATAGAGATCATAAATCAAAGCCCTTGATTGGTCTCTGTGTGTCATTCAAGCTCGGGATAACCTCAGCTCAGGTGAGGTAAAGGACTCTCCGAGTGTTTAGATAGTTAACTTAGTTTAAGTTCTCAGTGGGTCTCAAACGGTGTGGTCACCATTTATGTAAACACATATTTCCATTTGAGAGGGTAGTGATTGATCTAATGGATAGTGAGGTGGGCTGAAGATCGGAAGGCTGTGAGTTCAAATCCCGCCAGGAACACCACCACTAGTGTGTGCCCTTGAGTGCCATCTTTACGCAAAATGATTATACAAAATGAAAACTTTTTTTTTTTTTTTTGCTCACCTCACCACCCCCCCCCCCCCCCCGCCCGCTGCCACCACCCGCCCAAGTATATTTCAGATCTGTGGGAAACACTGCATGATGTCGCTATAAGTCCAATGGACACGGTCCAATCGTCCCCCAATCTTCACTTGTATATCACCGGTCCATGCCTCAACAGCTCTACGCCAAATCTGAGATCTCACCATATGCCGTTTCCATGGAAACGCATCCCTCGCCATAAAACATGATGTCGCTATAAGTCCAATGGACACAGTCCAATCGTCCCCCAATCTTCACTTGTATATCACCGGTCCATGCCTCAACAGCTCTACGTCAAATCTGAGATCTCACCATATGCCGTTTCCATGGAAACGCATCCCTCGCCATAAAACATGATGTCGCTTTAACTCCTATGCAAATGTTCAAAAAGTGCTCAAACTTCACAAGTTTGCTAACAGTCCAGCCGTGAAGACATCTACGGGACAGTTTTGAGATTTCTTCAAATGCCGTTGCCATGGCAACACAATGCTCGCCTTGAAACACGGTTTTCTCATAACTTCAGTGAAATTACTCCAAACAGCCCAGGACTTCACAGGTTTGGTAACGATGCAGCCATCAACGCATCTAAGCGTATTATGGGGTGTCATCAAATGCCTTTGCCATGGCGACAGATCATTCGCCATCAACTTAGTTCAGAAGTTTGCGGTTCAAATATTCTGCTGCTTTTCCAAGCCTTTTTACTTTCTTTTCTTCTCTCATCACACATTCAAGCCCCCAGTGTTCATGTATCATTTCAATCTAAATTACTCACTTTCTTCTTACACATTTCATTTTAATCTAAATGATTCACTTTCTTCTTACACATTACATTTCAGCATAGCAGTTTAGCGTCAGCTTTTCAGCATAAAGCATTCCCACTAGCAATTTCTTCATGAATTGCATTCTCTAGTTTTAACTGATGTTGAATTGCAATATGATTCACAATATTAGGCGGAATGATCTTTTTTTTTAAATCGTTATGTTTATTATCATTTAAAGTTATTTTTGATAGGATCAAAGTGCAATTTTTTAAGAACATCTGTCCCAAACAAAGATATTTAATAAAGTATGTGTAAAACTATTTGTATGCCAGGACATATATGTGTTACTCTAGTCCTCTAGTGTTGAGATTTAATTTCAATTCATTATGCAGCGCTAACTGCGTGTATGCCTGCTTCCGTTTTAGAATTAAAATGTGGAACCGGGCGCACATGCACGAGTCTCATATTCACACTGACATAAATGGTCATAGAAAGACCGGTTTGTTAAGAACCACAAACATAGAGGCGACATACGCTGATAGGAATAAGTCTGTGATGAAAAGCTAATATTGACCATTTGGATAGACTGGTACGGCTCTCATTTACGGTCATATGAACAGAAATAAAAAGCACAGAGCGATATATTTGTTCAAAGCAATTGAACAATATTTGTATGATATTATTATTCCAGCTAAAGCAAGAAGGTTAGGGGATATCATAATATATTCAGTAAATATATATACTATAAATGTGCAGCAACAAGAGTTTTTTCCATTTGGCTGATATTGTGGAAACTACCCCAATTAAGAGGAAATCCAGCAATGTATCCCCTTTGGGGTGTCACAAGAGAGAGATGTAACAAAAGAAGGGTTTTTCAAAAAGTTCCAAAACCACTGGATCCTACATCTCCCATAATGCAACATAACACAATTATTTCATAACAACCTGCATTACGCAAAACTGCTCACATGTTTGAGCTCAAGCTTATTTCTTTTTAAACATATGAAATGTCAAAATTAATTGAGGATAAACCACAGAAGATATTAAACAACTGTATTCATAGGCAGATACACTGTCATCAGAAAGAGCCTTCATTCTGAATTGAAACAACTTCAAAAAGCCAGTAAACAGAATATCAATAGAAAGCAATGCTTCAAAAATGCCATCACATTTCCTAATGTTGAATTATTTGAATCCAAAAATTTTTAGATTGAAAAAAGGTTAAAAACAGGTTAATTCATGGAATGAAAGAACAAAAGGTGGATTATTCCTGTTCTGCTTAGGGACAGTGCTCCATTGATACCTGTCACTGTGAGCCTGTCTGAGCATGTGTTCTGCTTCTGAAGGAGGGAAGGGAGAGGGAAAAGTGGGAATAAACACATTAGTGAGTCATGGAGGATGTGAGTAATACGGATGGAGAGAAAGTATATAAAGGAAGTGAAACTAACATTTTATTTAGAGATCTTGACATGTGAAAAACATTTTCTTAAGCCATTGCCACCAAAAACTAAATATCAAGACAGAAATCCGGGCGTACGTATTTTAATATATGATACATAACCAAGTGGATGTTATTTTAAATCCGATCTCTTCAATATTTGTTTTGGTGGCTGAGAGTTGGGAAAAGCCTGTGTCCAAAGGTGTGTTGTTGGGAACAGTATAATGTTTTCAGAGGGTGGACATTGAGGTTCGATGGACAGCAGTAAGTTAGAGAGGTCGATGAACTGACATTTAAACATCATGATTAAAATCGGATAATCTGGTTATGTGTTATTGTTATTTATATGCATGAATACTTGCATTAAGTGCATGAAACTACACACAATGAATGCTTCCTCATTCGGTGGTAAAGCTAGAGGCAGAAGGGTGTAGTTTAAATACTGAGGTTACTTTAGTTTAGTTAAACTGATAGTTTGTGGAAAATTAGAAATACCACGAAGTAAAACTACTATATCTTAGGACTGAGAATTAAACTCACTACTGTACATGTTTGGTTACATCTGAAATGTGTATAACACAAACTACTTACAAATATTAAATAATATTACAGTATTCTGTTCGATTAAAATTGGATCCAATACAAGCTGGGTAGAATTCAGCAAATATCTCCCCACTTTAGATTTCCGTTTTCGATGTGCACTTTAAATCAAAAATATATAATGGAAATGACACTAACATGTATTTAATTTTGACTTAAAACTAGTACAGATTTTTGACAAAGATGTAGCAGTCTCTAACATTAACACTTATGCAACTCTAAGGCAGATCCATACTGTTGCTAACTATAAATGTGTCAATAACACTCCACATGCTGATGCATTGATCTGACTCCAGAACACATTAATAAGCCAGCTGCACTCACAGCGTGCACTCACTGACAGGCTTCCAACAGAAACACATTCAAATGGAAACTATTGAAATATTATAAAAAGGCATATATCCCATCCAATTCCACTGTAACAAGTGTTAATCTCATGCTAGAGGTGTTTTGTGTCCTTCAGCACAGGAGCTGCTTCTGACCTGCTGACCTGTACAGTACAGTAGCTGGAAAGGATGTTTTCACAACTAAGCTAACACTTTCACTTCGACAAAACGGACTATTTATTCAAATACTTACTTTTAACTGTGAGCACAATGAGATACAATGATAATGTAGTGAAACAACGAAGGAGGAGTTGAAGTTGAATAGATTTGTTTTCATTCAAAGCAGTTAAAATGCTTGTGGTATAGTGTAATTCAGGGTGGCGCGGTTAGCTAGCATTATCCACGGACTAACAGACCCTGACAGCTTTGGAGTAGTTTGCGGTGTGGGTATCCAGCTCCAAGGTATGAACACACTGCCAAAGGGAGGCTTTTAGGCATGTCCACTATCGCGAACGCATTCGGTGTCATAACAGGGCAGCGCTCATGGCTGAATGCGAGCTTACAGAACAGTTAAAATCGGGGTGGAACAGAACAAAGCTCCAAAAAACTAAACCCCCTAAACTGAACTTTTCCAACTCTGCCATTCCAACACACACAGCTGTGGAGTTGCACCAGGAAATAGTGAAGGCCTACACGGTAAGACAGCTTGTTCCATCCGAAATGCAGGCTATTTCTGACCCCCAGTTCACAGAAAGCTCCGGCAAACCCCTCCGAAGGACACTTAATATGGACTCAATAGGCCTCGTTGTGGCCAAATGTCTTAACTTACCCGCAAAGTGCGATTCTCCCGTGGCACAATGTCGATCTGTTTCCCTCAAGCCACAGCAGGAACTTGCCCTACGTCACGTGCCGGCGTGTCATGGCGCGGATTGGCTGGTTGTCAAATTGGAGTTTACAAGGCATGCAGGGAAATGTAGTTTCTCAAAGGGGTTTCCATATTCCCTTTTATGGATAAGGTTGATATAAATAACAAAAATATGATGTGAAAAATAGATGAAAGATGTATTTTTTCTTTATTTTATAAACAGATATACTGAGAAACTTATTTTAACAAAGTGTTCGACTACTCTAAAAATGATTCCTAATTTTTCTGGGGTTTACAAAAATAAATAATAATATTTGACTCAAATAGGTTTTTACTGTATCCACTACATGCAAATATTCTGGAATGGTTCTGGAACAGTTTTTTCTTTATTAACTGTATTTTATATTATTCATTGTTTTAATAGTTATTTTATAGTTGCAAAACAAAAAAGCAGACCTCAAATATGTGTATAAAATAAATATTTTTGACAAGAATTATTGAAATGTGATAACAAAATGTAAGAATCTTTGTTTATTGTGTATGTTCCAGTGTTCAAGAATGAGTCAGTATTTTACAGTACAAGTGGTATTATTGCAGCCTTGGAAATGCCACAGAGATCACATGCCGGACTTTCACCCTGACCTGGATGAGGCTGTATGAAACTGCGTAAAAACATCAATAAAGATAAGTCACAGTTAGACCCCAGCAGCAACCCTGAAAAGACTGCTTCAGTCCGAACAGGGCACTCCTCCAACAATTCAAACGGCTTCCCTGGATCCCGCTGCTCCTGCATCTAAAGAGTAACTGACAAAAGCTACTTCCTCTCAAAAGAAAAAAGCCCCCAGACCCACAAGCCCCATGATCTCCTTCAGTAAAGTGTTATCTGTGAGCCAGTTCCTCAAATCATATTATAATAACAAATACAAATACTTCATATCTGTGGTCATAGTGACACGATGACAGGCTTATTTCTACTTTAAATACATCTTCATACTATAACTGTCCCTCACAACTTGAAAGTGTTTGTTTTGGTAGGATTTTATATTGAATGTGACAACACTTTTAAAATTAATCTTAAAACTACTTATTAAGAATCAAGAACCAAATGCTTTAACAGAAATAATTTAGCAACTTATTTTTTAATTACTCATCATATAATAATGAAAGTGTTAACTTTGTGTTAACAAGTAAACTCATTTTGCTTTTCTTTTGTATTTAATTAAAGACACAAGAGAATATTTTTAAATCAGTTTACCAAATTGACTCCCCTTTTCCATGTGACTCATACTCATTGTATTCAGTAGTTACATGATAGGATGCAATTTGCAGTTTGTATAGTTGTATTGCTAAAGCAGAAACTTAAACTCCAACAAAATAGAGATTTACATTAGGAATGATTAGATATTAATTGTCTTTAAATACATTTTAATATTCAATTTAATTGTTGGTGATTGAGGAGAATCTTATTAAATAAGACTTTATTTGAAGTGGACATGAAGTATTTTATTAAGTCAAAATGCAGATCTTTTTTAAATTAATTTTAACGTTAATGGTGCCCCCCACATCCGAATAATTCAGAGGGCTTGCACCGATAGGTTACGTATTGTAACCCTAGTTCTATAAGCACAGGCGGAGCCCTCTACTGGACTCTATGGGTACTACTCTCATCAATGATACGCGAGCGTTCACACACTGAAGTTGTATAAACGTAGCCGGCCAATCGGGGCGAGCCTACCTGAATGTGCGCGCAGGCCCACAGTATATAAGGCGGCTACGCCTCCTGACTGTCATCCTACACCCTCTTCAGCGAGCGGCATAGGAAAGACAGGGCCCCTAGGTAGAGGGCTCCGCCTGTGCTTATAGAACTAGGGTTACAATACGTAACCTATCGTTCTATTTCACACAGGCTCCGCCCTCTACTGGACTCTATGGGTACAGTGGGTGGAGCCCCGATGGATAAACACCCTGTCGTCCTACAACATCGATCCGCCACACTGCCCCTGACCGGCCTTTGGTTAACAGCCACCGCACCCCAACTTCCCATCATCCGGTTGCGACCGTGGAGAAGTCGGGCCGCAGCTTACTTGGCTGGGTAGTGCCTAATTGGTCTGAATAAGCCCATAGCTCCACCCTGCAGGTGCCAGCGCAAGTGACTAACACTGCGCACTACGTTTCCCAGGTCCCTTAGGAGCATGGGGAGAAGGTAAGTGCACCATGTCCCCCACACATGCTTACCTCATGTAGAGTGTGCATGGACCGTAGTGGGGAAGGCCATTCCCCCCCCCATTCCCCGCCCGCCCATAGGCATACTGCCCACCATGTTTCCCGGGTCCCTAAGGAGCATGGGAAAACATAAGTGCATTATGTCCAGGGGGGGTCAGATACAGCCTAATGACCCACAAAATGATAGCGCCTTCAGGGAGGAGAGCTCCAGAGGCTCAAATGGTTATGTGACCAAAGCCTCGAGCACCAACGGCAGATCCCATTGAGGGGTGGAGACATGCACCACTGGGCGCTGTCTCCTGACCCCCTGCAAAAAACGCGCCAAAGCGGCTGACTGAAGGCTGACCTGCCGCCAAATCCCTCATGGCAGGACGAGATGGCTGCTGCATACACTTTAACTGTGGAATGAGCAAGCCCCCTGTCCACCAGTATCTGTAAATAGGACAGAATAGAGCCCAACGTACAGGATAGAGGCTCTAGACTCCTTTCTTCACACCACCGCTGGAATACCAACCACTTCGTCCAGTAACAGGCTGTGGTGGATCCTGCTCTTGCTGCCTGGACAGTCTGAATAACCTTGTCAGACAGTCCACCCCGTCTCAGCCTGTCCCTCTCAGGAGCCAAGCCTGGAGAGGTTGTAACGCCCCTATTGCACCTGCTTCCTGAGACAACGCCCCCCAGTCCAGGGCTGACCCACCATCATCTGTGTCACCTCTGCGTACCACGGCGCCGAGCGGCGACCTGGGGCTACCAGGATGACCGACTATCGTTCTCGTCTCAACCTCTTCAGGAGACTGAGACGCAACGGTGGAAAGGCGTAGAGCAGCTTTCTCGGCCATGGGTCGTGTGCAAACGCACACCTCCGCGTGAAGCATAGGTTCTCCACTGTGCTCAACAAGGCGGCGGAGCGGACTCCGCCCTGCCTGTTGATGTACGCCACTGTGGTGCGGTTGTCGCTCCTCACCAGCACATGTTTGACCAGTAGTAAGGGTTTGAAGTGCTGTAGGACCAACACTACTGCCCGCAGCTCTAGAAGGTTGATGTGCCGAGTCTCTGTCAGAGGCCAGCCACCACCTATAGCTCTCTATAGGCAGGTCCCCCCATCCTGTCACAGATGCATCTGTGAACACCGTGATGTAGGAGGTCAACCGCCCCAGTGGAGTTCCCCTCCGCAGATGCTTTGGGGACGCCCAGTATCAGAGGTTGCCCTCCACTGAGGGGGGATGGTTACCAGATGTCATTTGTGCCTCTTGGGATCTAAACAAAGATGGAAAACCACCTCTGCAGGCGGCGCATATGCAGTAACCCCAGCAGTACCACGAGGTGATTAGCCGCCATGAGACCCAGAGTCTGCATGATGGTCAAAGCCGCCACGTTGCTCCCTGTCGCAGTCTGCAAACTGCCCGAAGCAGGGATGCCTGTCTGCCCTCTGACAGGGTGGCACGTAGTCTGCCTGCATCGAGCAAAATCCCCAGATACTCCACCTGCTGGTGCCTGATAGAGTCCAGTAGAGGGCTCCACCTGCTGGTGAGGTATGGGACTGCTCTTCTTCCAATTGACCGCAAAACCCAACTTGGTTAGGTGTAGGATCAATTGGGCTGTGTGGAACATTGCCCATTCCCTGGACCTGGCCATGACTATGAGGTCGTCCAGATAAAAGAAAACCCTCACGCCATGGTCGTGAAGCGGCTGAAACGCTGTGGTCACACATTTGTTGAACGTGCGTGGGGATAGGGAGTAGCCGAACGGTAGTCTGTTGTACTCGTAGGCTATCCCCTGGAAGACAAAACGCCAATACTTTCTGTGCTTTGGAGCAATTTTGACATGAAAGTAAGCATCCTTCAGGTCGATGGTTGTGAACCAATCGCCCGGCTGCACTAGTTCCAGTAATTGTTTTATGGTTAACATATGGAACTTTTTGCAGGCAATGTGCTGATTCAGGCTGTGAAGATCCAGAATGGGTCTTAATTCTCCTGTCTTCTTGGGAACCAGGAAGTACATGGAGTAAAGCCCCTTTTCTCTGTCCTGAGAGTGCACAACAGACACAGCCTGTTTTTGCAACAGGGCCTGAATCTCTGTTGAAAGGAAACCTATCTCCTCCTGGGATGATAGATTTGCCTCTCTTATGCCCCTGAATGGAGGGGACCCTGCAAAACTGGAGTGAGTAACCTAGTTTCAGTGTCCTGTCCATCCACTCTGTCAGTACACAGCTGAGTTTCCATTCCCCATAAAACTGTGTTAGGGGACATGCAAGCAGCTGTGGAGCCGCAGCTAAGAAGCTGTGGTCATGGTGGCCCACTCTGCCGCCAAACCTTCCGTAAAAGGAAGTTTGGCCCATGGGGGGCTGACACAGAAAGGGCCGATTTTCTACTGAGGTCCTTGAACGCGCTGCGTCCTAATGCCGTCTTCACAGAGACGGTGAAATGCATTAATCGGAGCTATTACACTAGGCGAGGTGTATTTTCCGACAACAACACGCCGGCCATAATGTCCCTGCACCCGCATAGCGCTTTGACAGCACTTCCTGCAGTTTATCACACTCATATGCGCGCGCCCACTAGCTGCCTCCTTTACTGGAGTTACAACTGGGGCGGCGAGTGGGGAATCGTGTCTCATAATGGGTGCCCAGTTAACATCGTATGAAACGGATCTTGCCGATTTCAACAAGAAAGCTGTCTCCTTTACTGGAGTTACAGCGGGGCGGCAAGTGTGGGACAATGTTCTCTCCTCTGAGGATGAGCAAGAAGCAGCATACGGCCAAGCTGCGACTTCTCCTCATCCATGTGACCGAGGAAATCGATCCAAAGAGCCCTTCCGTAGACAAGGGGGCTCCCAGGAGATCATCACAGTCTTTTTGTTGGAAAGTGCCACGCGGCGTGATCCCACTGTGGCCAGGGACATCACACGGCAAGCAGCGGCGCCCACACCGTGGACCAGGATATTAATTTGGCCGATGCTGCGAGGGCTGCCAGGCTCTCATCAAGGGGGGCCACGCCGGGACACGCTGTGTCCGTGCGGCCCTGCACCCTGAGGCGGTAGCCCTACACGCTCCGCCGCCATGGTCATCACCAGGGGGATGTCCTGGCGGACAGACCTGGGTGGTGGACTTCCATGGATGCCGGACCCGGAAGTGCCCGACAATGAGAGTCCTCGTCATCCTCCTTCCCGGCAAACGGAGCCATCCGCCCCGCTGGAATGGCGAACGTGAATGCCACCGCCTCGGCCATATCCTGGTCCCCCAAACACTCGAAGCAGAGGTGGTGGGGATCGGCGCCCGCTATTAAGCCAGGGCACGAAGGACAGGCCCGGGCCTCTAGAAGTGGCGACTCCATGAAGGTATGATAACTTCTTTTTTCTTCTTTCAAACGTTTAACTTTTCTCTGTCCGGTGTTGTCCTGCTCGCTGAAGAGACAGTCAGGAGGCGTAGCCGCCTTATATACTGTGGGCCTGCGCACGCATTTAGGTAGGCTCGCCCCGATTGGCCGGCTACGTTTATACAACTTCAGTGCGTGAACGCTCGCGTATCATTGATGAGAGTAGTACCCATAGAGTCCAGTAGAGGGCGGAGCCTGTGTAAAATAGAACTTTAGGTTTCAGGGTTTCCACCAAAATATGTTTATCTTCTTTTGAAAGACTGTATTTAAAATGAACATTTCCTTACATGGAAATTGTAATTCAAGCTAAAGTTTGACTTCTGACTTGAACTATGATTGTAATGTATGCACCCCCAGCCTCGATATTTCCGGGGGATCTGAGTAGTGATGGCGAGATGAAGCCTTATGAAGCTTTGAAGCTTTCCAGCCAATTGGTTTGCAAAAGGGTTCATCTCATGAGGCTTCATTTGAACACAAAGTGTGTCAAACAGGCAGATATATCTCAAAAGTGATATGAGTTATACTGTGTTTTTCTTTAGTTATCTCATAACCACTATGAATCATGTCCTATCGAGATGATCTGATCGTATAATATGAACACTCCAATTTGAGATAGACAGAAAGATTTGTGATTGTGCACCGCGAGTAAGACAGCTGCATACTGATCTTACTGTTTCTCATATCATGGAACTGATATCTTCAGTGAGGTACATCCTTACCTCTTACTCCCAATAAGGGGTTTCAGAACATGATGAATGGAAAACAATGAGATTAATATCTCCATTTTAGAGGGAAATGCAATACCTTCTAAGACAGTGGTTCCCAACCTGGGGTGCGCCAAAGATCGCAGGGGGGGCGCCAGGCCTCAGATGATTTGAGGACAAATATCATATTTAGACTTTTTTTTTTACATATAATTGTAACATTGTTGTATCGTTGTACATGATTGTCGCTAAAAGCCTTGTCTCTACATTACAATAAAATATACAAAATAATTGATTAATTATTTTGAATACAAATTCAAGTTAGTAGCTATTAAAGGCATAAAAAGACAGAAATGCCCGTAAAGTGTCCAAACCAGGCTTTTCTGGATACGCGCATTTTTAAAACATATCCATGCCGGTTTCAGTTGGATTATTTGTCACAGTTGCTCCGATCAGATCGGTCTCCTCCATTTTGTAGATTATTTACGATTTTTTAATCCACAAACACATCGGCAAAATCCGGTTTACTTTGAGCATGTGTTTTAAACAGTTTAATCTCTTTGTGAATTGTTTCCACTTGCGCCGTCCTTTAATTTCTTCATACAGCGGGAATCCAAATGAATTAATCCTGAGTCCAATAACCATCAAAGTCACTCCAATAGTGCTCCTTAATTACGCGTTCATCCTCCTTTAACAAAATACTTCATATTTATCCAGTTTGTGACAGCAGTTGTAGCATTTTTCAGACTTTTAAACTTTAATTACCGCTGTTGCGCTCCCCCCCCCCCCCCTAGTGTGTGTCTAGTCCACCAGCAGATGACAAACCTCTTCCAAGGGGGCCGTGCGGCAGAGTTTCAGTTAGATTTTTTATCGCCGGTCAACATGTCTGTTAAAGTTTAAATCTTCCGGACAAAATTAGAAAAGTGCCGGTCAAAGGTGTTCTTTGTTATTTATTGAGCTTTAAAACAAATGAGTAACGACTCTATATAATCATATAAGAATAATAGATGGAGGACGGAGCCTCTCTTTTCCTCCCCCTCTTCTGAGAGCGCAGCAGCTGATATTTGAGCACGCTCCCCTCTCCTGCAGGGGTGCGTGGTCAGCTGCAGCTCATTTGCATTAAAGCTACATCACAGAATCAGCCCATGCAAAAACAGGGCTGGAATAGAGCAAATAGAGCGAAATGAGGCATGGCTAAAATGCATGATCTGTTTGGTATTTTGAAGAATGTAGAAATATATTAAAGATTTATAATGATATGTGTTCTGTTTTATTCTCAACGTTTATGTATTTATTTATTTAATATTATTTTATTAATTTATTCATGTATTTATTTCCAAATGTATTTATCTCTACATTTATTTATTTGTCGATTTATTTATTCCTGTATTTATTTATTGCCTTATTTATTTATTCATGTTTTTATTCATACATTTATTTATGCATTTATTTATTTATTCATATGTCATGTTCCGTCCTCTATATAAGTGATGGTTTGAGCTCTCTTGATCCCATCGTGGTAATATGAGTGTTGTAAAACTGTGAAGTGTGAAGACTTTTTGCTTTAATTTTAATCTGTGTTTGGTGCGTGATCATTATTATTTAGAGTCTATTGATTTGAACACGATCCGTGTATCCATAATTTCCTGGTCTTCTCTAAAGAAGAGGGACCAATGAAAACGTTGTCATGTTGCCGTTGTTCAGCATCAAAACATTCATTAGCTAACAATGACATTATTGTTCTATTAATATAAAGGGAGGTCAGTTACTCTTTAAAACAGCTGGTAGTTATGGGTACTTTTTACTTAAGTACATTTAGAAGCCAATACTTCTTTACTTTTACTTGAGTAAAGAAGTGTAGTCAGTAGGCTGCTTCTACTTTTACCAGAGTATTTTTAAAGACGAGTATCTGTACTTCTACTTGAGTAAAGGATGTGTGTACTTTTGCCATCTCTGCTAAACCATAACATACAGTGACATCAGCAGGAGCAGAGGTATGATGCCTTTCACTTTTACTAACTGCAGTTCCCATTTGAAACAATAGAGGACAACAAAGCACACATTGTGTAGAATGAATGGTTGTGCAGTCTTTAGCAAGTGACCCCAAAGTTCCCAAGTGAACTATGCAGCTACACATATTTAATACATTTAAACCGAATCAAAATACTTTATTCATCCCATTGTTAATTGGGTTTAAGGTCAGTTCCTCCATTTAAGAATTAAATAAACAAAAGATAAATACACACAAAGTATAAAATGATTAATGTAAACATATGATGTTAAAGTAAGAATGTGTACAAATGTATGAAAAAATAAAATACAGAGATCGATATAAACATAAGAAGTTAAAGTAAACATGTTCACATTGTGCTACAATATGCTACGTGTAATTCATTCTTAAGTAAACTCTTGATACTGATTAACTAAGAATAAAAAGCCTCAATGAAAAAATTAAACAAGCTCAGATTTCTTCAGTATTTCATAGCACATTTGTGTCGTATTGTTTAAATAGTGCAGATGGATGAGTCTTTGGTGTCTTAATAGCCAGTGTGGTCTGAGAATATATTATGCATGACACCATAATAAAGGCTTCATTCATTTATCATTCATTCATTGCATTATGAGTGTTCATACATAATAGCAGCCTCAGATTTTTGGGGAGATTGTGACAAAAGAGACCATAGAGAATGGTGTTAAGAGGCACTATTGTTTCTTATAGATAGAAATGCAGCACTTTCATTCCTTTTTAGAGATCTTAAAACATTAATAACTAGTGTTTTTAGGACTTGTATACATAAAGATGTAATGACTTCTGTTGATGCACTGTGAACAAGTTGGAAAACGGGTTGTCCCGAAGTCTAGGTCTAGGCCCTTTCCAACTGTTTAATACTGAAATGTACATGAGAAAGAGCATAACAATGAAAGGGCACACGAGTAAATAAATAAAATGAGGCCATGATGTCATTGAGTTTGGAAACAGTATGAGGCACATTTCTGGTAATTACCCAGGAGGTCAGAGCCCATCCTATGATGGGGATTGGGAGGACATTAATAAACTAAATTACTTTTTTAATCAATGCGATGTGGGCATCAGCAGTGTGGTCGTGGTCAGAGGCATTGATTACACAGATGGGGGCATATCTCCTAGTCAATACATTAGCTCATACAAGGTTCCACTGCTGGACGCACTGAGCTGTTATAAGGGCCCTGGTCATGTGTGGATAATTGAAGCGGCAACCTCCAGGTCTGGAAATTGAAGCCAATGTGGAGGTGCCTTACATTTGCATTCTCTCTAAATGCCGGCAACGGGCAACTTGCAAACAAAGTCCCATTCTATAGAAGTCTATACAAAAATGACCTTCTCGATTTATTACCCCAATTAACATTTTTCCTTACAAGTTTGTGGTCTCAATTGCTAGTTTTTCAAAGCTTTTTTGATACAGGCTGATTCATTTTAAATACATGTGTTTCCACTGCACTTTGAACTGAGTTCTTAGCAGACCGTATCCCTTGCTTTTTATTTCCTACTGATAGAAGAGAAACTCCATTGTACGTGGACTGATTATGTAACAATGGGCCCCTGCATAAACACACAAAGGCCCCTCCACAACCTAGAGCATGTCTGTAGCCTGTTGCTCCTAGTATTATTTTCAAGGTACTTTGCAGGTTATTTTAGATGGTAAAACCAACTGATAATTTGCTTTAGATTATTTCATATTGTTACCTGCAGTGCTGTACTGCAGAATTCACTCAACATAACTGTTCTAACAGTAGAAAAAATACTTGCATAATATCTGTGGTTTTGTTATTAAGTGTTTGGGTTTTTTTCTTCGTTTAACTGAGAAAAAAAACGTGTACAGTTATCCATTCATATTTGTAAAATGTTCAATCAAAAATATATAGGATTTGTTGTATTTTTAACTTTACATGAAGCGAGAATATTGGTATCATCAGCAACAAACAGGACATTTATAAACATTTAAAATAAACAGTGGGTCAAGCATAGATCCTTGAGGAACTCCATGAAGAAGCGTGGACAAATTGCTCACTGTCAAACAGAGTTAACAAGTAATATAAGAAGTGTGCTCTGAATCACAGACCTCTGCCAAGGCCATGCCCTATATCACAATGTTATGAAAGTGAAAAAGAATGTGTTCACGACCCTGTGATTCGGTTCTGCTTAAAATAACATGGGTTTCTTCCTTGTCCAGTGCTTCATCCTTTCAACTTGGAATTTGTGGTAGTAATTTTCCATAATCCCCTTGACACACAAACAAAAGAACTGAATACATAAAGTTATTGCTGGAGGTTATAACATCCTGACTTCCATATTACATTACATTACATTGCATTACATATTAGACGCTTTTATCCAAAGCGACTTACATAGCCAATACTGTGGGCAATCCCCACAGGAGCAATTTGGGGTGAAGTGTCTCAGGGACACAACGACATGCTGACTGCAGTGGGACTCGAACTTGCTATCCTCTGTAACTGTTACATTTCTGTTTCCGTAGTATATTGGTAGTATCTATCTATCTATCTCTATCTATATATCTATCTATCTCGATCTATCTTTACAAGGCTGTCTTTAAGTTGATTTCAGGCACTTTTGTTTCCTCTTAAAAACTTACAGTAGTCTACAGTCTCAATTAACGAAAAAAGAGATACAAAAGTTCCAATTTATTCCCCAATTTTTGATGAAAAATAATAATAAACCTCTTATAACAACTTCCTTCTGCCCCACAATTACCTAAAAAAAAGGAGGAATGTGACGCTACGCAACTGCCCACGCTCCTTGGAAGTCCCTGCACGTCCCTTTCATACTGACACACACACACACACACACACACACACACACACACACACACACACACACACACACACACACACACACACACACACACACACACACACACACACACACACACACACACACACACACACACACACACACACACACACACACACACACACACACACACACACACACACACACACACACACACAACACACACACACCACACACACACACACACACACACCACACACAACACAACACACACACACACACACACACACACACACACACACACACAGAGAGAGAGGGGGGAGG